CTTTTGTTTGTTTTTGTTTTTTGGCCACACTCTGCTATGCTCAGGGCTTACTTCAAACTCTGCTCCTGGCAGGCATGGGATCATATGGGCTTCTGGTACCTGAACCAGAGTTGAACAAGTAAAAGGCAAGCACCTTCCCAATTGTACTATCTTTCTTGGTTCTAAGTCAAACATTTAAAACTTTAAGACAGTCAACAGTATGATTTATGTTTTTACTTCTTTGAAAATTTTACGTGGTGCCATCATTCCTGGTTATAATAATAATGATTCCTAATTCCTAACAAAATCTGTTGCCCCCTTTGCAAATGCCCCCTTTGAGAGTATCTTAGCTGTATAAATAAGCATTTCCTACCATTCACTCATCAAAATTTTATGTTCTCAAGTACATATTTTTGTTATTTTCATGATTATTGCTGCTGCAGTGTAAGGGAGTTGGGGTCCACTTGCTGCAATGTTAGGGTTCAAGTTAGTAATATGCATTAGTTCCTTCATTGAACCCTGGGTCTCATATATGCAAGGTATGCACTCTACCACTAAACCCCATTCTAACATTGCTTTTTTGGCCCTTATCATTTGCCTTATCACAACTATTATCAAAGATTTTTGAACTCATTATAGAATTTGTTTTTCTTTACCATGTTTGTGCTGTTAGTAATTCATGCCCAAAAGCGGTCCAGAAAACACAGACAGCAGAAAAATGAAAAAAAGAAGCACAGTGTGGAACAGGAATATAAATATATGGTTTTTGAGTCAAAATCTCTGATTTTGAAACAACAGAACTATGAAAAGGACGGATAGGTATTCCCTCCTAGATATTTATGGCCTCATAATAGTCTCATGAGTATCATGATAGTCTTCTAACTCTCCTTGACATATGCTTCCATTTAGCAGAGCAACAGAAGGAAAAGTAAAAAAAATCACATTGTCTCAAATTGTGAGATGTGTATTGACAAATGAGAGTCAATTTCTTATTTAATAATAGCTCAGTTAAAAGGTGATGCTTTAATTCAGTGCTAAAGTACTTGTTTTGTATATACAAGGTCCTAGATTTGATTCCTGGCACCACCACAACAAAAAAATCCAAGAATTGAAAAATTAGTTTTTATTGTTAATTGTTTGCATTTCTCTAGCACTATGCTAGTTGTTATGAAGAAAACAAGAAAACACTGAGACAACTTTCCCTTTAAATAAATTACAACCTTATTGAGGAATCAAGAAATACATATATGAAATAATAAAATAAAAGTGTAAGGCAGCATCAAAAAATATGTTGTATGTAATCTGGTGCCCACAAATATGGGTTAAAAGAAGTAGGATTAGAAGATGGAGAGATACTATAATGGGTAAGGCACTTGCCAACATAGCCAACCCTGGTTCAATCCCCAACATCCTATATGGTCCCCTGAGCACAACCAGGAGTGATTCCTGAGTGCAGAGTCAAGAATAACTCCTGAGCATTGCTGTATTTGGCTCCTAAATAAAAAAAATTACAGTAAATAGGATTGTTAGAATGAAGAGCTATTGAAGAAGTTTGGGCTTGAAATGACCTTTGGTCTGTTCAGAAAAATGAACAAAGGATCCCATAAGGATGTATACACAGAGAATAATTAATGAGGCATATATGGTGGCTTATTTTTAATAAGGTTGACTGGAGGAGAAAAGCAATCTGTTTGGTCCCTGCAAACCAATTTTCCTCTTGAAAATTTTGAAAATTTTTCACTTGAAAATTTTACTCAGGTGTTAAGTGCTCAGAAAGCTAAATAAGGAGTCAGCAGGGCCTTGTTCAGAGCAAAATCAAAGACTCAGGTCATTCTAGAATAAATTTTAAGTTCTATGTATAAACAGCAACTTTTAGCCTCGTGACATGAAAAGCAATACAACATTTATACATACTGTTGTGTTTTAGGTTGGCAGCATTGATAGAAGGATAGAAGAAAGGCAAGGAAGAAGAAAAATAGACCTAGGAAGGAGGGTATAAAGATGACAAGAAGTACCTACTGTATTTAAGAGGATTGAAGAAGCATAAGGCTCAGGGAATTCTGTGTGGCAGGCTACCTATCCATGATCTTCCCTCTACCTCCTGCTTAGACTGATAGAAGTTGATAAATATCCTTGGCCACTCAGAAGGGGAAGACCTTTCTTCTTGATCAGGCTCTGATACACTGCTCATCTATTATCAGTCCAAATCCTAGTGTTGATGTATGTTGTTTTACGTTCATTATCAGGCTCACTCAAAGCTGCTTCTTCCTTAGTCAACAGACTTACATTAATTTCTTATTATTCTTTCCTGTGCCCTATTTGCTTTATCAACTTTTTGTTTGTTCAATTTGTTCAATTTCTGCTGCCTCATTTGTGGCAGATTCCCTCTAAATGTTTCCGCTATGCATCATCTAAGTAATTGATAGCCAAATACATAACTTTTTCTAAACTCTTTCGAGCCCTTTGTAACCTTCCTTCACTCTGTGAAGGAAACAAACTTGATCTTAACTCTACTCCATTGTTTTCCTGTGCCTATCTTCAACTTCCTGTCGCCTGGCTATTTTTCTGTTCTGAAATATTCATTAAGGTGGGGGGGGATAAACGAAATGAAAACACAAAGAATAAACATATCCCTATGTCATTTTGCTAACAACAAAGTTTTATTTATTTGTGTGTGTGTGTGTGTTGGGTCACACCTGGCAATGCTCAAGGCTTACTCCTGGCTCTGTGTTCAGGGATCACTCCTGGTGGGGCTTGGGGAATCATTGGGTTTCCTGCGATGGAACCCCAATTGGCTTCATGCAATTGTAAATATTCACTGTACTATTGCTCTGCCCCTCCAGTAACTGAATTTTTAAATACAAAATATAAGAATTAAAACTACTGACTTCATAATGTTTGTCTATACAATGAGAATCTTAGTTACTCATGTTCTTCTCTTCCAGTTAAAATTAAGTATTTGGAATTATTTATTATAGTAAGTTAATGTTAACCGTCTGGATCTACTTCTAAGGTATGTTAAGATAAATATTTCACAAACTCTGGGATCTTATCCACAAGTTCAATGTTCAGCTCTACTTTACCAGGAAGCCTCCTTGGACTATTTCAGTTCTCATTCTCTAGCTCTAGTTTCTAGCATATTGATACTGTTGTGTGGCTCAGGAAAAGGGACACTCCTTCACTGTTGGTGGGAATGTCCACTGGTTCAGCCCTTCTGGAAAACAGTATGGACGATTCTCAAAAAATTAGAAATTGAGCTCCCATTTGACCCAGCAATACCACTTCTGGGATTATATCCCAGAGAGGCAAAAATGTATAGTCGAAGTGACATCTGCACTTGTTTGTTCATTGCAGCACTCTTTACAATAGCCAGAAACTAGAAGAAACCTGAATGCCCAAGAACAGATGACTGGTTAAAGAAACTTTGGTACATCTACACAATGGAGTACTATGTAGCTGTTAGAAAAGATGAAGTCATGAAATTTACATACAAGTGGTACAATATGGAAAGTATCATGCTAAGCGAAATGAGTCAGAAAGAGAGGGATAGACATAGAAAGATTGCATTCATCTGGGGGATATAAAGTAACAAAGTATGAGATTAATACCCAAGAATAGCTGAGATCAGCACCAGGAGGATTACTCCATAACTTAGAGGCCAGCCGGGTATCCTAGAGGAAAGGGCAGTTCAGATAGAGAAGGGAGCACCAAATAAAGGATGTTTGGAGGATCCTCCCAGGAGGGGAGATGCATGTCGAAAGTAGACTATGGACTGAACATGTTTGCCACTCAATGCCTCTTTTGCAGACCACAACACCCAAAAGGAGAGAGAGAACACAGGGGATTGCCCTGCCACAGAGACAGGGGAGATGGGGGGATGGGGGTGGGGGGATATTATCCATGGTGGTGGAAAATGGGCACTGGTGGAGGGATGGGTATCTGATCATTGTATAATCGAAACCCAAGCACAAAAAATTGTAAATCTACAACTGTAAAAAAAATAAAATAAAGGGAAAAAATAAAAAAATAAAAAAATAAAAAGAGCCTCTGTTTCCTTATTAGACTGAGAAATAACTGGATACAAATAGACTCCAATCAGGTAAAAAGAATAATTAAGTCTTAAATACACACTAGAGAGGTCCTTAAATACCCATATAACCCCATACTTTTCACTTACAGCCATTCTATAGAGCCAAGCTTAACACCACGGATAAAGAAGTTTTATCAAAGATTCTTTTGCCTAAAGGCTCTTATTTGTGAAATATTTACTTCAGTCAGTAACTTTCTCTACATTCCTAGGACTTATAAGTTATTTTTCTACATTTCCAGAAACAGTGTCTTAGTATTTTTCCAGGTCTTTGGTCTTTGGTTCCCTGAAGTCCTATGTACTTATAAAGTCAATGTAATTACTTGAGAGTGGTTTTTTTAGCACACCAAGTTTGATTTGGTGGCATGGGCTTTAAGATTACTACTTCTCTTAGCATTTCAAAAAGTATTCCTAAAATCTGTATTGCTCATTTGGAACTTAACATATGCTATTATGTAGTCATACTTGCCAATTTCATATGTTTTTAATCTGATCTATCCAACTAAGCTCCAGAAAGTGAGGAAATAGTCCTTAACTTTTCTCTATTCCCCATTGTGTCCCAGATAAATTGGACATAGTGCAGTTGCATAATTTAAGATCCAAGCCCTAGATTCCAATTGCCTGGGAATTAAATTTGGCTCTGCTACTAAAAGCTAAGTAACCTTGAGTATGTTCTTTAACCTCTGTACACCTAAATTTGTTCAATTTTGGAAAATAATTAACACATAAGATTGTTGTTGGGAGTAATTGAGTAAACACATAAAAGTACTGCAGATTGGCTATATAATAAGCTACCAAAAATAATATAAGGAGCAGGATTGGTTAAATGGTTGTGACCCCAATCTTTACCACTAATATTGTGATGGCTTCTTTGTTCCTTTTATTACAAGTCTTAATGCCTCCCTCTTCTACTCTTTTCTTTGCTTGTACCCAGGTCCCAACTCTGATGATGGACACCCAGTTCTCTGAGTTCACACCAGATATCACACCCATTATGCTGGCCGCCCACACCAACAACTATGAAATCATCAAATTGCTTGTTCAGAAACGGGTCACTATCCCAAGGCCCCACCAGATCCGCTGTAACTGTGTGGAGTGTGTGTCCAGCTCAGAGGTAGACAGCCTGCGTCACTCCCGCTCCAGACTGAACATCTATAAAGCTCTGGCAAGCCCTTCACTCATTGCTTTGTCAAGTGAGGATCCCATCCTAACCGCCTTCCGCCTAGGCTGGGAGCTCAAGGAGCTAAGCAAAGTGGAAAATGAGTTCAAGACTGAGTATGAGGAGCTCTCCCAGCAATGCAAGCTATTTGCCAAAGACCTACTAGACCAGGCTCGGAGTTCCCGGGAACTAGAGATCATCCTCAATCACAGAGATGACCACAGTGAAGAACTTGACCCTCAAAAGTACCATGACCTGGCAAAACTGAAGGTAGCAATCAAATACCACCAGAAAGAGGTAAGCTGAGTTATCTTCTGCTTTGGGGATACTCAAGGCTTCCTAAATCCAGAATAGTGGAATGGGTAGATTTTCAACTGTTTAGCTCTCTGACAAGCAGGCAAAGTTAGATAGGTCTCAGAAAACTGTAGGTCCACTTTTCCAAGGGGCATAAAGCTTCTACATATTTTCTTTATGCCAGATAAGTAGGGGATAATACTGATAGACTAATTCTTTAAATGAAACTCATTCATTCAGCAAATGCTTCTACAGTACTGTTGGTGACTAAGATTTAGAAAACAGAAACTGACCTTGCCTTCAGAGAGATTTTTTAAATTTTTATTAGTGAGACATCATGAGGTACAGTTGTAGACTTACAAATTTTGTGCTTGGGTTTCAATTATACAATGATCAAATTCCCATCGAGTTGTCATATTAGTACAGAAATAGAAACTGAAGTAAGTGATCAGAAAGAGGGCTTCTTTAACATGTAACAAAAAATCCTATCTTTAGTCTGGGCACATGGTTAGCCATTGTGACAGAAAATTCGTTTTGGGGTTGCTAATAATTGATGACAAAACTAAATCTTCGTCAACCTCTAAACAATAAGGCTGAAATATATTTTTGAAAAATGGAGCCATACTCTGTAGGAGGGTAAAGTGCACCTTCAAACTATTAGGGTAAACTTTGAGTTTAGTTTAAGCAGATTGCAGGTAAGAGTTTGCACTGTAGATTAGCCACACTTAGATTTTAGCAGGTGCTATTCTATGTCATTTTACCAAATAATTTTGGGTATACTTGTAGCAGGTATAATTTAACTGTAAGAAAGCAACATCACTGTCCTGTCCTCCCGTTGTTCATCAATTTGCTCGAGTGGGACCAGTAATGTCTCCATTTTGAGACTTGTTGTTACTGTGTTTGGCATATTGAATACATCATGGGTAGCTTGCCAGGCTTTGCCGTGCGGGCGAGATACTCTCGGTAACTTGCCGGGCTCTCCTAGAGGGGCGGAGGAATCAAACCCGGCTTGGCCAGGCTGGCTGTGCGCAAGGCAAATGCCCTACCACTGTGCTATCGCTCTAGCCCAAGAAAGCAGCATAATATAGTATAAAGAGTAGAAGCTTTGTGACTGTTTTTTTCTCATTAATTTCTTGTAACTATGGTTTCTTGATTTCATGGGGTTATTGTGGGAAATATGTGAAAAAAAACGCTAGTTCAAGTGAAATATAGAATGGGAACTTTAATTTTTTTCCATTATTCTTCCAATGTTATCTGGAGTCATATTCAAACAGCTTGGAAAAAGAGTTGCTTTCTGTCTGAAGAGCAACTTGCAATAACTTCCCTTCATAGATTTAGACTTTGAGGCAAATGATATTGTATGCCCATATGGTCTCTTTCTCTCAAATGAGGGAAAAATAAGCCCTTAAAATGAGGTGAAAATGGGTACCTCAAAAAATTGAAGAGCATGAAAAATGACATAAGAGCAACATGCAGATTGAAAGTGCTAAAAAGGAGATAATGGGGTGACCCAACCATGAATCTCCTTATTCTATTCTTTCCTTTATTTGCTTTAAGTTATTTCATTGAGCTTGAAGAAACTGAACCTCATTTTTCTCTTCTGAAAATTGAGATAATAATAGTACTTCCCTGGAGAAATTTAAAGTTTAAAAAAGTAGAATAGGTAATGTGCTTATGTATAGTACAGTATTCAGCATATATAAGGCATTGAATAAATACTAGTTGCATAATGTTATTGTTATAGTATAAAGAGTAGACAATAGTATATGGTCTGATTCTGTGTACTGAAATTATAATAAATATAGCAAAAGCATCCCTTACCTCTCTCTTCTCCCTCCCATGATCATTCTGTTGATATATACCTTGCTCTTGGTAGCTGGATTAAATGTTCTGTTTTAAGATCTAATAGATTTTGATTTTACTCTTTTCTTATTAAATGTTTGCATTCATAATATATTACAATTTCTGTATATTTTTGTCATTACATAAATTGTAATATTGTGGAAAATTACATGTACTTTCAGAACATGAATTGTTTCCATAAAAAGATAATTAAAGATTATCATAAGATAATCATAAGTGCTGTAAAAATTAGTATTATGGCCTAAAAAAGTCTTAACTTACTATAGAGCATATAACTTCCATCCTGTCTTGAAACTTAAGGTTTATTTTTTAAAAAGTCACTGCAGCTTTTCATCAATTTTGTATTGATAAACCAGCTCCCAACTACATTATAACTTGACCCCTTCTGTTCATAATCTTTATTTGACAGTTTGATACTGCTGAATTTGGAAAATGCTTTGATGACTTCTTCACTTTAATGATACTTTTTTTTGGCATATGACCATGAAATCATCATTGGGCTCTGAATTTATTGCCCTCCATTATGTTCCCCTCACATTTCATCTCCATTCTTTCATGAAAATTTATTCTCTGTGTCTCTTATTTTCCTTATTTTTATTATTATTATTATTATTACAGAATATTCCTAGGATATTTTAGTTTACAAGATATTTTTTTCTCAGTTCTCATTAGACCAACCAGAATGTACCAAGGAGTTATAAGTCTTTTGCTCTCTTAAAAAGCATCAGATTCAACATTTTTTTAAGATTTACAATTTTTTGTGCTTGGGTTTCGATTATACAATGATCAAATACCCATCCCTCCATCAGTGCCCACTTTCCACCACCATGGATAATATCCCTCCCCCCCCACCCCCCATCCCACCCTGCCTCTGTGGCAGGGCATTCCCTTTTGTTCTCTCTCTCCTTTTGGGTGTTGTGGTCTGCAAAAGAGGCATTGAGTGGCAAACATGTTCAGTACATAGTCTACTTTCAACATGCATCTCCCCTCCTGGGAGGATTCTCCAAACACCCTTTATTTGGTGCTCCCTTCTCTATCTGAGCTGCCCTTTCCCCTAGAATGCCCGGCTGGCCTCTAAGCTATGGAGTAATCCTCCTGGTGCTGATCTCAGCTATTCTTGGGTATTAATCTCATATTTTGTTACTTTATATCCCCCAGATGAATGCAATCTTTCTATGTCTATCCCTCTCTTTCTGACTCATTTCGCTTAGCATGATACTTTCCACAGATTCAACATTTTTTCAGTGTCCATTTGCTCTGTACAAAAAGGGCTTTTTGTGGTAAAAAATATACAAAACATAAAAATGTCACATTAACCATATTTAACTTTACAACTTTGTTCGTGGTAATAAATGCATTCATATTATTGTGCATCATTACCTTTAGGAGTCACTTTCTGGGGGTGTCAGTGGGGGTGTCAATTTTTATTTCAATAGTGATTCCATTCAATTAGTTTCATAATTCTCAGACCATATTATTTCTAATCCATAACACTGAGAAATTAGTACATTTTAACTTTTCAAAATTATGGATATTCAGGGGAAAGGCAAAAGTTATCTAAAAACATATTTATGCAGATTGTTAATTTTATACTTGCTAGCATTTACTCATTAAGTAATCAATTAAACAAGGGCAATGATATAATTTAATAGATTGAATTCTCGAAAGAAACCCACGTCAAGTCACGTCGGGATTCTGGAGAGAGCCAAAGAATCCTATTTTCCTCCCCAAGAGCAAACCCTGTCCGCAAAGAGTTGAGTCCAGTCAGCCATCCAGGCTTGGCTCTACTCAGCTCAGCACAGGTCTCTAAGAGCTAGAGAAAGGCTGGGTCGCATCCCATCAGGGTTCTGGACAGAGCTCACGAACACCATTGTTCCTCCCCAGGCCAGGAGTGAACCTCGCCTGCGAACTTCATCTCTCCATAACACACCATCAACATGCTTAATCATCCTAACTGTAGGTTCATAAACACACAAGAACACACAGGGAACAACTCCAAACTACAAGGATCATAATGGCAAAGCAACGTAGGAACCCACAAGGCCTAGTGAGTGCAGACGACCCAACCAGTAATAAAGAGCTCTATAACCTCTCTGCTAAGGAATTTAGAATGGAATATTTGAGAATGCATAAGGATGTACATGCAAACAATGGAATGTACCACAAATAAAATAAAGAGTATATGAGAGTAGAAATGAGGAATTTTAGTTTACTTCAAACTAAGCCACACCAGTTCGCAAGTCAATCTTGAGAATTCTGATATACTTCAAGGTTTACACTTTATAGGTACTGCTTCAATAATGTAAATGATGATTTACACTCATTCGAATCTATAAATCTTTTCCAAATTTGTTTCCAAAAGAGATCTCTACTTTTCCCATTCGGTGAATTTTATGTATTTAAAGACTATGATTTCACTGCATCGCAAATATTTATAGTCTCTAATGGTCCTCTATTCAATCTACAGGTCTGGTTTAAAACTGAATAATCTCATTGTGAACATTAGTAATGCATTATTTTGGAGGTGCTTTTGTCATTTTAAATTTAGTATCTTTTAATAGCAGTGTTGTGGGCTACTGAGGTACCCACATTTCAGGTATCTCTCCTCAACTTCATTCAGATCCTTAATTTCAGTATACGATTAATACATCTTTTCAATAAATATGCATAATATAGTTTTTAAACATGAAACATAGCACTTTAAGTCCAAAATTTTAAAAATGGTTTTAATCCCAATACAGCAAGTCCTGGAATGCTGTCATTTCCTTTAAAGTTGTTGCATTATAGAAAATAAATTTAAGCCCATATCAAACAAAATGCATTATTTGAGAACTTGGATTCCTTATGTTACAACACCACAGTTTCCGAGAACTTATAAACAAAGTTTAGTGAGAATTAATTAATGTTCGGTAAGCCAGGTAGTTATTTTTATCATATGTAAAAGTGTATTACATGATCATCAATTTTCACAGAAAAAACTATTCATGTAGGATGTGATGGAAATAGGAAAGCCAACCTTTTCTTTAGAATACGCACACAAAGAATGAAAACTGACGTTATCTTTCCATTATATTTATGTTAAGTGAACTCAACTTTTATCTGTTAGATAAAAGTCTCCAAATTCCTAGGAGCCATATGTT